CTTTTGCAGTAAAATTATTCTAAAGTTAAAACAAATCAATTTTACTGAAGAAACAAAACTAAAACGTACACTGCTATTAACGGGTTTATTTTCCACAAATGCTTGTTTACATTTTTCACGTATGTATTGATATAGATGAATATTTGAAATCGATGTTGATTGAGACATATTTGAATCACTTATACTAAGCATTATAAGTGAATCAATATCGAAAATAAACATTGAACGATTGTATTCATCACATTCTATCGAAAGAAATTTTTTAATTAACAGATAGATTTTTAAATGATCGTACCGGCAAATGTTGTTGCAAGTAATTCAAAGATTTTATTCTCATCAAATGCATTATTTTTTGATAAAAAATCTGTATCAATAATTTGAATTGTATCAATGTTTCGACTAGAACAACCGTTAATAATACGCGCAAGTAAGGTCATCAATGATGTTTCATCATTCAATAATGGTTTTTCAATAGTATTTTCATCTGATAGTTCGATGTAACATTTCCTTTCTTGTAAATCAATTAAAATTCTTCCTGAAGGCTTCCTTCCTAGAAGAACTAATGAGAATTCTTGGGATTGTGTATTTGTTATACTTTGTGTATCAAATATATTTGGATAAATGCGACAAATTTCTGGTAGAGTACTACTTCCAAACCAACAACTAAATTCTCGAGCTGTATTATTAGCAAGTGAGAGTAATGTATGATTAGATAATGATGCTGGATTATCTGCTAAAAAACTAACAATACTTGATTTTAATGCACCGATTGCTGCACCACTAAAATTTGTTGTAATTTTAACAAGAAAATTCAGCCGTTCATCGGTGAAATCTTTCAAATCTTTTGTTAAAAGTGGTTTAAGCATCTGTTTACGAATTTCAGGGGATGGTCGACCAACAAAGCATTTCGCTTGCATACGTCTTAGAAAAGCATCATCCATCATATTTCGTCGATTTGTTGCACCGAACACGATTAAATTTGGTATGTTTTTTACACCTTCAATATGTGAAAGAAGAACACTAATGCCATCGACTTTCGATTGTTGTGCATTATTATCTCGTTTTGGTACTAATCCATCAATTTCATCAATTGTCATAGCACACATCAAATATGGAATAGTATTGGCACGATACATGATGTCAATAAGGAGTTTTTCTGTTTCACCTACGTAAGGTCGATTAAGTTCACCTGCAGCTAATGGAACTGTTGTCATTGTAATACCAGCGTAAACAGCTGCTCGTTTAAGTAGTTCTGATTTTCCTACATAGAAACGAAAAATAAGTTTAAAGTGAGAAAAATGATGTAACACACACCAGTTCCAGGTGGTCCATAAAGTAGTAGACCACGACCAATTTTCACTTTGAGTTTACGATGTTCATCAGCGTCAATAAGATCGATCTTGGATTGCCGATCATTAATCTCTTTCGTATTGTTTTGAAGATTTTGAAGAAATTTATAATGTTTTTTCATTATTCTCTCGGATTTAATGACTGTTTCTTGCAAATCTTTTTCAGCATTTTTCTTCTTCTCTTCAGATTGTTCTTGTTTCATTTTAGCTCTGTCAAAATTGTTTCTCCAAGTGACTGTAACAGCTGCAGCGTTTCTCGCTATATCCTTAAGATTATCTACTTCTCTTTTTGCCGATTCTTCTTCTTTAGATATATTTGATAAACGAAGTTCTCGAATTTTAAGATCATTTTTGATCGTCTCACATTCGGATTCTATCGATTTAGTTTCTATTGTCAAATTATCAGCTTCATTTTTAAGTTGCTCAAGCTCTTTCTCCCAGATGCTTCGTTTCTTTTCAATTTCTTCGTCGGTAAAACTTGCAGTTGGAACACAAAACGTACGCAGATATTCATGAATAGTACTAAGTATATTTCCATCATCAGCGTAGAATTTACGTAGTTCTTGAATGGCTAAATCAACAGCACTTCGATCGAGATATGTCAATTGTTCTTTTTTTCCAATAGCATCATAAAAATAACGTTTAACTCGATGAATATCACCTAATAGCGTAGCTAGTGATTCTCTGTAAGGATCAGTAGTTTGATTGAAACTATCTGCGACAGCATTCAGTTGTACATAATCATAAATCATTTGTTTCACTGTAGGTTTAACACCACTGACCTTTTCCCATATATTTTCATTCTTAACCGTGTTTTGAAGATGTTCGATTGTCTTAATATTTTCCACTATAAATAAATACGTTAAGAGAATACATTGTCAGATAATATGTATGTGAGAGAGAAGAGTACAATACCTTCTAGTTCTTTTTTCCAGCTTCTAATATCTTCTTGACCATATTTATTTTGACGTCCAATAGATTTGAGAAGGTCTTCAAGAGTATTGATTTCTTCAGAAGAACCAGATGGATCAATTATTTCAGTTCGTTCTATTACTAATTCATCGTAACGTATAATTTTTACATTAAAACAAGTATTTGCTGTGGTGTACCATATTTCAGGAAAGTGACTTCCTTTTGTATCAGGTCGATAATCTAGTTCTAATAGATCGAGTAAATAATTGAAATTCCAAGGTCCAAACTTATCATTTTTACGTATAAATAAATTTGGTCGATAAACTGGACGTTCTCTTTGATTACTCATATCTATTGGTTTACTAGTTGATCGAAGTGCATAAAGCTGAAATATTGATACAGACTTTCCATTAATAATCAAAGTATCATTAGATTTATTCAATTCATCAACAAAGTCTACCAGTTGTGGATATTTGAGTTTGATACGAATAGTTATAGTAAGTTCTTCTAGTGGTACTGGTTTCGACGCCACAAGTTTTGTAACATTCGACTCTTTCCTAAAATATCGATACAAATTATGATAATATATATATATATATATATTGCTTTATTCAGGTGACTTACGGTCCAGCAGTTGATTGTTTCATTTCCGGAACTGGTGTAATATCCGAATATTTGCATTTTGCGAAGCTAAATTCGTTTGCCATTTTCAAATGGGATATTATCAGTCTGAAAAAAGCAATTCAATCTAAAATAAATATGGATAAAATTATTTTTCTTAATTAGGATGCGTATAGAGAAAAAAAACTCTCGTTTAAAGTCTTAAAAGTTTAAATATTTGTATTGTTAGTTAGGTTTTTTGAGTTTGTTTTCAGTGAATGTTGACGTTGAAATTTGATTTTTTCGATCAACTGTTACAGAATTCTTGTTTTCATTTACTTGAATATTTCGTTCTTTTAGCTCTTTCTTGATGATTTCAGCTGATTTTGCATCAAGTCTCATCTTTTCTTTACAATAGTATTTGTTGAGTTCAGTGATGACTTGTTCAAGTTTTTCCATTTTTTGATAAGTTTCTTTACGAAGTTCTTCATTATTAGCATATTTATCTTCGCTATTGTGAATATTATCACGTGCTTGACGTAGTGCTTGTCCACATTGGGTAATTCGTTCACTATTTTCTCTAACATTCCGATGTAATGTTGTGAGTTGATCTTTTGATATTTTAACTTTTTCGCGACTTTGTTTCTCATTCTCACTAACTAATTGTAAATGCTCAGATACTTTCTCAATATGTTTTTGATTTTTCACTATTTCTTCTTTTTTTATTTGAAGTTTTGATTCCACCTGTTCAACATCAGCCTTTAATATTGTATAATGGGTCTCATACATATCACGTTTTTGAATAAGTTCTTGAACTTTAGCAATTTGAGACTGTACGTGAATACGAGCAACTTGTTGAGCAGTTTCATACTCATTTAATTGTCGCTGAGTCTGTTTTTGACGTTCTTCAAGTGTTGATGTTTTACTAACAACATTTATTATTTGCTCCGATACTGCTTTAACTTGTTCAGTTTTAGCTTTTAGTTCAAGTCCTACTTTGGTAAGAAGTTCTGCTTTTATTTCCATATCTTGCTTCAACTGTGTTTCGTTCTTTTCAACTGCTTGTAATAATATTCGTTGATTTTCTAATTCTCTTCCTGTCATCTTTTCAGCATTTGTTTTTTCAAGAAGTTTCTGTTTTATATTCTCATTTTGCTGTTTAAGTCGTTGAACTATATTTGTCTGTTTATGATGTTCTATTATGATCGCCTCGACGTCATTTTGTTTATCCCGTTGTTTAATTCGATGATCTTCCATACTACGTTCATGTCGTTGAATTTTTGTTTTTACATTTTCAACATTTGATTTTAAATCTGCTCGTTGTTGACGATATTGTGTGAGTTCATTTTGGTTTCGCTGAAGATCACTAGTAGTACTCGCTAGTTGGTTTTGAGAACGATTTAGTTTATTTTGTGTAATCTTAAGTTTGTTTTCTGTTTGAGCATGTTTACGATTAGTATTGCGAAGAGCATTCTGAACTGAATCATATTCACTTTTACATTTTGAAACAGCTGAAGATTTTTCTCTAACAATATTTTCTTGGTGTATTCGATCGTTGGTCAAATTTTGATATTTTGATTTGGATGTTTGTAAATCTGCTTTTGCTCTATTGTGTTGCTGTCGAGCAGTATTGCATGCAGTTTCTTTCTGATTAACTTTCTCTCGTGCTTGTTGTATCGCATTTTCTGCTGAACTTTGATTACCACCTAAGCCTGGAACAGGTATTTTGGTATACAGTGTTGCAGCTACCGAAATTAGTGTTCCAAAGAAACTTAACATTTCTGAACTCTGAAGTCGAGACTCGGCAACACGTAATTGTTCTTGAGCTTGACGAAGTTCACTTTCAGCAGAGGCTAATTGTGTTTTCGTACTTTGTTCTTCGGCTACAGCTCGATCATGCTGATTTTGAGCTTCTCTTTCTTGTTGTTTAAGTTGAGATAATTCTTGTGTTGCATCAGTGTGTTCACTAATAGCTGTTTGATGTTTCTGTTGTGCATCATCTCGTTGTTCTTGTAAATCGTTACATTCAGTAACTAATTGATTCAGTTCTGCTTCCAATTTATCTTGTTCAACTTGAAAAAAATTCAATTCATTCGTAAACTGTGCTTGAGATCGTTCCAGTTGTGATACTTTATCCTGAGCTCGTCTAATAAGTTCTTCCGAAGTTCGAAGTTTTTCTTGAAGTGCTCGAAGTTCATTATTAACTTCAGCAAGTTGATCTTCCATCTCCATAAATATACGATCTAAATCGCGTTTTTCTAATTCGATTTGCTTTCGATTTGCTTCAAGTTCAGTTCGTCGTTGTTCCGCTTCAACTAATTCTCGTTGTAGCTGTTGACATTGTTCTGTAAGTTCTTTTATCGCATCTCGCATTTTAATGAGTTCTTTTTCAAGTCGTTCAATATTTTGTTGAAAAACTACTGCTTCTTTTTGAAGACGATTGATCCCAGCTACTTTCTCATCAAGAGCACGTTTTAATTCATCAATCATTTGTTTTAGTTGATCTTCTTGTCTTTTTAAATCTTGTTGTTCACTTGTTAACGTTTGTTCTTGATCTCTTAAACGATCAAGTTCAACATTTAATGCATTGATTTGTTCGGTAATCTCGTAGATACTTCCCCGTAATTGTTCTACTTTTAATTCATATTCTTGACGTCTTTTATTTTCTTCGGCAACTAGTTTTTCCTGTTCTTTGATTTGATCATTAATTTGATTGACTTGCTGTTCTAATTCTTTTAGTGATAATTGTAAATTATTTTCTATTTGAACATTTTCATTTTTAAGTTCTTTCATTTCAATAATTTGATCTTGCAATTGTTTTTCTTCCAGTTTTAAGTGATTATTCATTTCAGCAAACGAGGCTTGTTCGTTTTTATAATTTTCAATTTGTATTTCATATTTTTCCAGATTATTTTCATGAACGCCGATGTCTTCAGTTGCTTCATACTGTTGCTTACATAATTCAATTCTTTCTTTTTCCAATTGTGTGAGTTCTTCCGCATGTTCCTTAAATTTTTGGAAGAGTGGTTCGTTTTCATTCAATATAGTAGTACTTTCGTTAGCAAGTTTTGTTTTTTCATCGTGAATTTGTCTCTTTTCAACAAATAATGTTCTGTTTTCATCCTTGCAATGTACAGTGAGTTGTTCTATGTGTGCCAGATTTTGTTTATGTGCATTCAATTGAGTTTGAAAGAAATCATCTTCTTGAATATCATCCATTTTGGTTTTGAATTACAAGAATCTAAAAAATATTATCATAATTATCTAATAGTCAAAAGAATGTCGAGGACGAAATTGAAGACATCATTAGGCGTACTGAACATTTCTCTCGCTCTTTCCCGTAGAAGCTCAAGGAAGAAGTTGTGTCTTAGTATTTTTATTTTTTGGTTGTGTATCTCCGACCCTGAATAATAGAAGGAATGATACTATTCTCTATCAAATGGAACAACATACCTCAAGAGAATTAATTGTTGAGCCAGTTTACTTCATATACAGTTTAATCTACAATAAATATAGAACGAAATTATATATATATATATAATGTAAAAAGATATCAAAATAATAAAAAGAAATAAAATGATCAGAATGTGATTGTTACTACGATTAATACAAAGTTTCGAAATTATTTATATCTATCATTATATTGCATTCAAAATGATGACGGCTCTAAATGATACGGTGTATCTCAACAGATGGAGAACAAAGAAAAAAAAAATAGCTAACATTATTTGTCTAGAGGGTGTGGGTGTGGGTGTCCATACAAAGATAAAGGAATACTCACACCCACACCCACACCCACCTACACCCACCTACACCCACACCCACCCACACCCACCCACACTCACCCACCCACACCCACACCCACCTACACCCACACCCACCCACACTCACCCACCCACACCCACACCCACACCCACCTACACCCACCTACACCCACCTACACCCACACCCACCCACACCCACCCACACTCACCCACCCACACCCACCCACACTCACCCACCCACACCCACCCACACCCACACCCACACCCACACCCACACCCACACCCACACCCACACCCACACCTACACTCACCCTCAAAAAATCACCACATATGAAATGATAAAGGTAAAAAACCCACTGTATGCACACATGTATGATAAGAAAGGAGAAAAAAGTGTTGCATACAAAACTTTATCTTATTCTTCATATTATTTTACCATCTTATTTTGCGGGTGTAAGTGTGGGTATCTGAGTGACGGTAAGCAAGAGATTAATACTCACCACACCCACACCCACACCCACCCTCAAGGTGGCATGGTTTTCGGGAGGGGGAGTGAAATTTCACCCACAGCTCCCCGTATTAGCTAGCGTCACCAAACTTTCCATG